ACCATACGAATTTTGGAAACACCTAGACAACAGCCACTTAACAGAACTATGTTCACTATTCAACAAGATTCTAGATATCAAACAAATAACAAAAGACTGGAACCATAGCAATACGTTTCTCATTGCAAAGCCTAAACCATGGGAAAAAGACCTTAGAATGACACGTCCTATTGCCCTATTAGAATCAGCACGGAAAATATTTACCAAGCTACTTTATCTAAGAATTACAAATATTCTCACCAATAACAAACTGTTATCACAATTAAACTGGGCAGGACTGCTGGGAAGCTCGACGAGTGGTCCAATCCACATCATTAACAACTGCCTAGAAGATGCAAAAGAACACAAAAAATCCATATGGATCCTTACACAAGATATTTCTAAAGCATTTAATTCAATTAACTATTCATTATTCTAACTAGCTCTCAGACGTATTAATATGCCAGATAATCTAATTACATTGATAATGAACCTGTATACACAAAATACAACAAATGTAATTACCTTCCATGGAAAAACGGATAAATTTACTCAATTAACTGACATCCCACAAGGAGATGCTCTCTTTCCACTCCTGTGACGAATATACTATGATCCACTCCTAACCCGGTTGGACTCTTGCACAGAAGGTTACAACCTATTAACTGAACATTATCTCTCAGATATAAATAACCCTAAAACTCTTCACATCAAACAAAAAGTCAATGCCATCGCCTACATGGATGACACAACATATATAACATCAACAAAAGAAGAGTTAATAAAATTACTCTCACTGGTAGAAGAATTTTCCTCATTTACAGGAATGACCATAAACCATACAAAGTCAGAACTGCTTACAATTAATGTGACAAAGCCAAAAGAACAAAAAGCATCAATAGAATTTGGAAAACAAAAGATCACAGACGTGGGTAAAACAGGAGCAATCTGACTTCTAGGAATTTATATACAACACAACAAAAACAAATCGCACCAAATCAAATTAATTATGGACAAAGTCTTAGATATTTGTAACACTATTCGAAGAAAACGACTAACAGATAAAGAAACTCGTTACATTATCAATCATGTAATTTTCCCCAAAATTGAATATCTAATGTAAGAGATGGATTAAAAAATAAAATCAATTCTAAATGCTTTACAGCCCTAAAGTATAAAGCAGGATTCACTCAAACTGTCATTAATAGCATATGCACCACAAAGCTAGGATATGAGTTATACGACACATATTATAGATATGCACAACAACATATCAATACCCTTAGTGCAAGGATCAATGACCAATCAATAATGGGAGCTACAACAAGAATCAGATTACAAGTAGCACAAAATCAAATATGGATCCCAAATTCAATTTTAGAGGCAAATATTTCAAAAGAACAGATAATTTTGTATCAAAACCTAACATTAGACATACTAATGCTAGCAAAACAATATGGAATAGAATGGTCTACATCAACTATCTCCTTAAAAATTACTACCACTGTTATCTGTGTAAACCTTCTACAATTTACAAAAACAACAGGATAAAAATACTAAAACTAATAATAAATCTAAGTATAACTATAAGAATTACTAATCTCACGATAAAATAATCACAATACAAAGGTTTATGCGTAGAAGGAATTAAGTATGATCAATTATGAAAGAGGCGTATTTACTATTAACAGTGGTATAAAGACTTGTTAATAGGAGCGATGTTACCGGTGGTCCTTAGTTTTCCTAAGAACCACCTAATGGAGTGACTTGACAGTTCTTTTAAGGAGTTTATAGTCCTTTTCCGAAGGTAAGACTGTTGTTTCATTATTTTAGAAGGTACCACTGATTCAATTATTTTAGAAAGGGAATCAGACCTTTCATTTAATTTATTTCAATATCTTTTCAAGTTCATTATCATCCTTAGAATTAATATTCGTCCATTAATCCTCTTTTAATTTCATCCACTTTAAATATTATTTCCAATTATCCAGTTTAATTATTATCTCAAGTCCAGGGTTTATTATAATAGTTTGTAATTAATTTCATTAACTCAGGAATAATAACATTATACAATTATACGATCAAGTATTTAATCCCATAACATCCATTATTCCTTTATTAACTACATGTTATATTATTTAATAATTATTTTTATAA